TTGTTATATATATAATATTAATCTTGATTATTATTGTTATATATATAATATATAGTGCTCCAAAGGTGCCACTGGTTTTCTCCATAGAGAGAAGAGCGGCAGGCCCGGTTCCAAGTGACCCTCAAGTAGCTTTCGGAGAGAGTGAGTTCCTGTAGTTTGGCATCTGCACGTGCACGACAGGGAATTGGACAAGCGCTTGGGTGCTGGTGGTTTCGCAGGTGCGGGCGTGACCCCGGCATGCTGACTGTAGGGTGTTTTCATTTTGGAAGAGGGTTGAGCACAGTAGACAAAGTGGAGGTTTACAGCAAAAGGAGTATTGAAAGTCGAGATTCTGAGGGCAGAAAAATCGAGATCCCTGGAGAAGTGCTCAAGAGTAGAGATCCCACGACAGAAGTACAGAGTACTGTAGAGCTTCCTCGAGAGAAGTGCAAGTGGAGGTTTTAAGATAATGAGACAAGTAGAATGTAGAACATGTTTAGAGAAGAGACTTGTAGATTGTAGAGAAATGGATTGGAGAGTAGTAGTTCAGATAGATAGCGTAAAGGCAAGATGCCATATAGAGTAGCTTCCCGAAGACGAGTATAGAAGAGCCGAGTTTTTCTGGAGAAGCGTGCCCAAAAGTAGCGGCTTCTGCAGAGAAACATGTGGCAGCGATCTAGACATGTGAAGAATGCTTCAAGTAGAGTAGAGAGAGATAGGTGTGCATAAAGCGCAGTAAACCAACAAGGTCCATCTCAAAACTGGTAGCCCTGCAAGACCTATAAGCATGTCACATATCACGGAAATGCAGGCAAAGACTATGGGAAGTCAAGGCACTGTAGACGATAAGGACTATCAAACACGATTTCTGACTGTATTATGTTGGAAGCTTACTAAGAAGAACATAGGTTTTGACTCTTGACCTCATATCGACAGGCTGGTCAGTCAGCAGAGTCGAAGTTGTTGGACCAAATTAGATGGTTCTAGATATATAAAGTATCAGAAAGACGAGGTAGTTGGAGAACTATTATTGTAACTCTTGGAGGGCAGTGCAGACAAGAAGAGATTCCGGAAAAAAGTGCAGAACAGTAGAGATCCTTACAGAGAGACTTCTGCTCACCACATGACAACTTACCCCGCACTGCACTACATTATTCCAATTATGCATCACTACAGCGCAAAGCACCCCACGTCATGGTCACGCAGAACATCACCAAAGGAACTTCCCGCCCATAGTTCCCAGATAGCTGCAGGCTATTATAGGCGTTCTAACTTCTCAATGGTGTTGCTTTGGATCGGTGTTTTCGTTTTGCGGGTCTCAGGATTTCGGAACAACTCACCTGGAAGCATCAACGCGTCGGATGATGAGGGGCAGCTCTTGGCGTATTCAGACCCAACGGGGCCAGATGCAGAAGGTGAACCATAGGGTAAATTGAGACTGAAGACCTGTTGTTGAAACACAAAAAAACGGTAAATAACTTCTGCCTCGACCTCTCGCCCTGAGGCTTTCAGCATAAGAAATCAGGCATGAAAATACTCCAAGATTGGCCCATGCATTCGCTGCCTTTCTGTGCAGGCTTGCCACAGCTGGTCTTGAAGGTTGGACCAAAAGTCGATGCAGGCAGACGGGCGCAGAGCTTTTGTTGAGATGCCTGGCAGAGGAGGGCATCGCTAGTAGGCCATCGCTAGTAGGGTGGAGGCCATCTCTAGTAGCTTGGAGGCCATCGCTAGTAGGTTCCTTTTGCTATTAGGTTGGAGGCCGTGGCTACTAAACATTCCCTTTTAGTTAGACCCTACACAGCCTACAAAGAAGGACAAAGGAGGCCTTTGATTAGAGTTTGTCGAATGACTCGCACAAGCAGCAGCAATATGGAGCGTGGCTGTGCAGGTCTCATGATTCTGTGTTACGTGGCCATGGACCTTTTGCAAGATAGTGCTGACAGAGCAAGCAAAGCTGCATGCCGGTGACGAGTTCTGACGCTGATTGCTGGTTGAAACTGCTGCAACCCCATGGGTTGAGGTCGTGAACGTTCTCCTACTATTCTCTTTGTTTGGCTGACGGTTAACACTGCTGGACTGACAACAAGTGCCACCCATTTGTGTTACATATGTAGGCGGCCCTGAACTGCAGGAAAAAAGGCAACAGTGCAGCAGTGCAGCGTGTGTCAGCGGAATCTTTGGGTGTGAGGTGCGATTGACCACCGAAAAAGTGCCGCGTGCCAGGCTGTTGCTGGCTTTTCTCGGAGTTCCACGCCTTGACGTGTTTCCGTGGTGGGCCCCATGGGCTGAATGTTTGCCGGCTAAGAACGCACGCACCACGGAAACTTAGGCCGACCCCACCGCCAGCAGAAGCCATCTCTGTGTCTTTGCTTCTAAGTGCATTGTCTTTGCTCCGTTGAATGACTTTTTTAGCCCGCTAGTAGGTTGGAGGCCATCGCTACTAGGGTGGAGGCCATCGCTAGTAGGTTCCTTAAAGCCTTTCCCTATGGATCAAAGATCTCCGAGGCCGCGATCAGGCGACTTCGTGCGATTGGAGCCATTGAAGACGACGGTGCATCCCTTTTTCTCCACATGCTGCGAGGAGTGTTAGTCATAGCCGGCCTAAGGTACAAGGGCTGAAGGCCAAATCCCGAGTCTGTTTGTCTTCGTACATTGGCACCTTCCTGAAATTCAACGGAACTGAGGCTCCAAAGCAACGGCAGCTGTAGTGAAGCGCACCACTTAGCATTCGCCCAGCAGTTGCAGTCAACTCAGCTGTGATTGTAACAGGATCTTGGACTTGCACCAAATCTTGTTGGGGTAGGTGTACAACCCTTGGCTACCGTGTGAGCCTCAGCGAGAACTCCTTCCCCTTCACGTGTGCGGGCATGGGTGCGATGTGAGGCTTAGCAGCATTGCCAGTCGCAGGCGCCTCAAGGAGCCATTCTAGTAGCGTCCTTGCTCCTAGTAGCGATGCCCTTTGTTACTAGTAGCTTCTTTGCTCCTAGTAGCGATGCCAGGAGCCCCTAGTAGCGTCCTTGCTCCTAGTGGCCGAGCCGTGAAGAACATGACATAAGGGGAAAAAATTGATAAGGCACCCAGATACGCTCGGATGCTTTTGGCGGCGGTTTCCACCAGCGCAGATCTGAAGGCATATGTTGAAAGCTCACTTCGAATCCGCTGCCCTTGTAGTGATTTGTGCTGTCTGGAGGCCGATCATATCATTGGTCACGCCTGCGCTATTGTGGCGGCACTTTCTGCTGGGGCCTCACAGGGAGTGCCCTGTAGATCTGAGAGGCTGTTGATATAGAGTGACTCTAAAGACTTCAGATCTGACAAGGTCGGGAACCTTACATGCTGGGAGTCAGCGCAAGAGGTTGAAGGCACAGTCTCCTGGCCGCAGAGCTGTTTGTGAGATTCTCGGATGTCTTCCTCTCAGGTGCAGGGCCTGGTGGCTTGGAGAATGAGCTGGTTCGTGCTCAAAGGGAGGAATGCAACTCAGTCACGAACTGCGAAGGAAGGAGGCTTTGAGATGACAGGATGCCCTTGGAGTGAGTGCATTTCAGGCGCAAAGGCGGCTAGATGAGGCGACCAAAAAAGAAGCCCCAAAGTGGTGTTTGGCTCAGCACGGCGAAGTTCGCGTCGCATGTCGCGTCGTAGCGACTTTTCTTTGTTGAAGTCGTTGTTGGCCTACTACTGGAGCCCCTAGTAGCGTCCTTGCTCCTAGTGGTAAGGCCAGGAGCCCCTAGCG